TTATCGAGGTACGGTCCATTGAAAATAAGTGGAGATTGCTAGGTCCCGTCGCTTTGGGGTCGAGACTGGGACAAACAAGAACTAGTACCTGCATCAGCTGTTTATCTCCCGCTCCTTTGCACACAAATTATTTGGGTACCCATGATGCGTGGAAGTGATTGAAGGATGAATGCCGGTGGCTGTCTCAGTGATTGGGTTGTGACGCGTGCAGTGTCGTGCCTTTCTGCATCTGGAAGGCATATGCACATCAGTGACCATGTCGGCGTTGGGTCTGGTATGGCTTCGCTCGGCAGCGCGCCGAACTGCGGAGATGGAATGTGGCCACGACATGTGCCAGTGACCGCCGATGCTGTGCGAGCAAGGCGGCTCCAGGTAGAGTAGCGGATGCTGCTTCTTCCCGCCCGCGTACCTCCTGACGAAAGAGTGCAGGCAGACCAGGACATGGCACGAGGTCGAGACTCCGGAGCGAGCGTTCAAGAAGAGCGGCTCCAGGCTAGGCTGGGTTTGGCGGGGTAGGAGGAGTGGCCGGCGACGGGGTTAGTTAGTGCGCGGGCTAGGAGCCAGCGTCAAACCTCGATTGAGTGGACCAGAGTGGTGTTGCGTTGTCGCTGAGATTGAGGCCAACGTCCTGGACCAGGGGGGACGGGGTTGCCCTTTCCCTTGTGGGCGATGCTATTTTCAACTGGCAGTCGCAGCGAGGGGTGAGGAAAGCGCGGTCGGCACAGCTGGCAGGTGCGGGTGGTGGCGCGCCTGGAGCAGCAAACATGGCTTTCCTGAGAGCTGAGGGCTCGCTGGAGTCGCCGACACTTGACGCATCGCCAGATAAGGATGCAGCGCACAGCCGTCTTCAGCCAGGCCTCATGTCAGATACCCAGTCCGATCGTGTGCAGGCGCCCAAAACTGCATGGCGGGCGGCTGGCCCGTGTGCAGGTGATGCTGCAACTTGAGGCCGCACCCCTGTCGCTCTACCCGAGATGCTTGAGGCTTGGTGCTGCTTGGTGCTCAAGTGCACTGGCATGCGGCGACTATGGGAATATATCATACAGTGGTTCGCCGTGCTCTGCCCAGGGCCCATCTCCTGCATCTCTCCGACCAGCGCCTTCCTTTTGCAACTGCGGGGTGTTTGCTCAGTCGTCATCCATTCCTCAACCCAGGTCTGCTACCGCCCATCACTTGCATCCTGCCGCACCATCTTCCACCACACCGTCAATCGATACACGGACTCCCCACGGACTCTCTCCCAGTTTCCGTTCCCTCCAGGCCGCTGATAACCAAACGCCACCGCGTCTCATTCCGGACCTCGTCTCACACTGCAAGATAGAGAAGCGCGCCGGGATCTGCGCTCTTGCATGTGCACCAACGCCTTTATCCATATCTAGGCAAATCCCATACCAGACAGATAACCCTGGTCGTTACTCTTATATCCTCAACTCCCCATCGTTTTCTCTCCTCTGCCATGCCCCATTCGGTCAACAACTCTACCTCGACCCAAGCCAAGATGTCACGCCCATCGTCCACCTCGACCTACTCCGGCAATAATGCATTTCCCCAACAGGCAGGCACCACCCTCCTCTCGCCGGAGAAAGCCAATGGACAGCTCTCACCCGCGCACTCACAATTCTCTTTTGCATCGTCGCCCCAGTCGGTCCAGGACATCGAGCACGACTCCCGGAACCGCGCTCCGAGTGCCGCCGCGGATGAAGTAGGTCCCCTGCGGCCCATGACTTCGCGCTCGCGTGCACAGTTCTACGAGGATCAATTCTCCTACAAGGACGGCATGGCGTCGTCGGCTCGCGACCGTGTGACCAAGGATGCCCCCATTGTAGCCGAGCTGCGGACAAACGTTATCGTAAGTTGTTATTCTGCCGAGCTCCACTCTTTTGGCAAATCACTAACCCGGCGTAGATCAAAGACGAATACACCCTGGTCACCGACCTCTCGCACCACCTCTCGACGCGCTATCAAAGGCCAGAAGCCTCCATCATGATAACGGTCAACCACTCAGCGTGTCTGCTCCTCGGTGGTTCATTTGAGCCCACCTACATGCTCACCATTAACGCTCTGCCTGTGCAACTGCAACCCACGACCAACAAACGCAATGCCGCCCTGATTCAGACGTTCATGGCCGAGTCAATCGGCGTTGCGCCCGAGCGTGGCGTAGTCAAATTTGTACCCATCCCCGAAGAGAGCCTTGCCATGAACGGCATGACTATCCTCGGCGAAATTGAGCGCTTGGAGCGACAGCAAGCCGAGGAGACTGGTAGTAACATCAAGCGTGCCATGACCAAGAGCTCGCGCAGATCTGGTGTCTTCAAAGCAAAGAGTACCATGCAGCTGTCTCGTGGTCTATCCAAGGCTGACCATGGCGCAAGACCAGTCGTCACCACTGAGGTTTCTCACGACGCATCCCGCGATTCCGGAGTAGCTGTCAACGAGAAGATTGACGACAGCAGAATTGTCAACAAGAAGTCTGAACCCATACTCTCCAAGTTCGGCAAGAGGTCCGCGTCTGCCGCGCACCCTGCGCCGCCTCCTATTCCTGCCGACAGGCCTATGACTTCAGGAATGACCAAACGCAAGAGCTTCATGAGCGTCTTCCGCAAATGATCATCTACGAGCATCCGCTACATCGACAGCATTGTCTAGCAGTCATTCCCTAATCAGCAAACGAAGACCTAGCATTCACCACATCGATTTTCAACGGCGTTTCACAAGGCACATGATATCACTCTCTAGAATGAGTCGGCAACACAGACTCACCTGCGGTATTCCACCATCACGGCATCTGTCAGATTCTGCATATGGCGCTACACATGGGCATGGTCGAGTCGCAGAGTGCGACAAAATTGCATCACCAGGCGTTTGGGTGCGACACATCACATGCTGTTCATACGAATATACCCTTTTGCATTTCCTTTGTCGCAAAGCTCCAGTGAGCATTTGGGCTACATAGAATCATTAATGACACATCACTGCCTCAGTACATCGAAAAGTCTTCTCAGTTTCTTACACATGCTGCTAATCTGCACTTTGCCGAGGAAGCACCTGCGCTTCACTCACCGCAATGGTGCCGTCTCCCGTGCCGTGAGCGCAATCGCAGACCCACGAGTCTGGATGCACGCTCGACTACGCCATTGAGATCTTCATTCAATCCAGATCCTCACAGATCTTTGCCATTTCAGAATTGTCTCGGATACGCAAGCCCCATCTCAGATCTACAAACTTGCCGGGCGGTCACTAACAGAGAGAAGGGCCGGACGTTCACCTGCCGCGTGGCTAGACCAGAGACTACCAGACCGCCCGTGCTTGTCGAACGAAATCCAAGCCGGCGACGACTTCACGCACTCGGTTCAAACCTCAGTCTTACGGCGTAGCCCGATGTCCGTTTCCGCACTTCAACGCACCCATGTCTCAGCCCAGCGTCAGCAAACAAAGCCCACGTAGAAGCCCATCAAAGCTGCCAGCCTATCATCGAGACATGTATGCCTCCTCAGCCAGATAAGCGAACACCACCAGCGCCCATCGCTGTCACCGACTAAGCATGACTGACCCGAAAACACTGGACATGCGCAGACAACATTCACGTTAGCCGCCTGCCGCCCATTCTGCATTCTGCATTTTACTTTTTTCAGCTCTCCACGATTTACTAGCAAGTGGATCTAGATGCGCCACAGCAATCGCTGGTGTCGGAGAGATGTAGCGTGGCGACTAGCGCGGTGCGGGAAGGCTAACGTGTAGCTTCGGGCGGATAGAATGGTTATGGCCTTGTCACGATTGTTTCTTCAGCTGGGGGGAAATGTGGCGCTGGTCCAGCCCTACGATGTCGGTGGAAGGTTTTGCGTTCTAAGGGCTAAGAGCGGTAGTTTGATATTCCACGAGGGTGTTGGAGTGGAGATGGTGGTGTTGTGCCACGTCTTCATGGACTGGACTGGACCAGTTTCGATGCGAGGGTTGTGGCGTGTATGCGAGAGTGATTGTGCATGTCTGGAAAGAAGGGTTTGACCGGTTGAAACTCGTGTGGAGATACGCTATGGTAGACATGGGGAACCAAGAAGCGAGAAAGTCTGCGGACAGTATGTAAGCATGATGCCGGAACACGAAGTTTGCTATCAGCGCCTTGACAGTGAAGATCCCCGCAAGGTTTTGGGCGATCAGTGATCAGCAAACTGCGCAACTCTGCGCATCGCATCTTCGCCCAACACCACGTTGATCACAGATCCCCATGTATTCGTCGTCTTTATTTCATTTACATGCAACATTGGCCTTGTTGGCTAAGGACATAGATGGGACTTTCTCAATTTGCAGGATGATTTACCCGCATCCTGCACGAATAGAATTGTTGTCTTCACAGCCAATCAGCATCCTGGCACTTTTTTTGAGTCCCCTTCCTTCGACGTCGGAAGTTTGCGCTGCTGTAGCTTGGCAATGCATGCATTGCGCAAATCATCCAAGCGAGAGCTTGATTGAAATTGGAGCATGCGCGACGGAATGATGCAGATGACCTCGGGAGATGAGATAGATCAGCGAGTACTGCGTAGGCCAAGAGTACATCGGTGTATGCGCGCAATAGTTCATCGTTATCGCGCGATTGCTGGTAGAGTGCGCCGGGAAGTTTCTTGGAACGGTGGGATGTGCGCGATGGATCCAAGATCTATGTGTTCGTTACGGGCGATCTTTCCGTGGATATTTGGAGGTGTGACGTCATAGGTCGTGGTGAAGTACCCGGCGTACGCTATCTTTGTTGCTTTTGATCGTCAACCACGATTATGGGGTGTAGTCTAATGACCGCGAGCCTTTGGAGATGAGTTCTGGAGGTGAGGGGAGGTACTGCGAGGATGGAGATGCCGAAGTGGTGAGGAAGGATGGGACGATACCCACGTCGCATTTAGTACATTCGCAAAGGTGTCAACTACCTCAATACCCAGGTATCATCCCGCATACGCACGTCCATCTGTTATAACTTTGATTCTACCCAGGTAGTTCTACGTTTACACACCTTTCTAGTCTACCCACGACCACCTCCCCGAAAACCCCCCAACAAGCTCATTCGTAAACTCCGGAATCGTCCCAAGCAGCAAACTTCCCCTTCTCTCACAATCCTCATCAACCGCACGCTTCATCCCACACAAAGCCCCATGCGCCAGCTTCATCCCCTTCGCCTGCAGTAACTCCACAACCGCCGCCTTACTCTCCTCCATCCGCATCTTAGCCATCGCCTCCAACTTCTTCAGCAAGAAATTCTTGGTCTTGTAGCGCTCACGGGCCGTCGCGCCTTGCATCAGGCGGCGGTATAGTACGAGCCATCTGTGCAACGGTAGCCAGGGCTCTAGGTTGTTGGACGCGTTGGAGATGCCGGAGATGAGGGTGGTGACTTCTTTTTGCCAGTCTGAGGGGCTGGAGTGGTACCAGCGGTATTTTACTTTGAGGAGCCGGATCGAGCGCGCGTATTCTGTGGAGAAGTGCGCGAGGATGTTGGTTTCTGGTGTGGGGATGGGAACGGGGCAGCGGATTAGATCGGCTTTGCAGATTTCTGGGGTGAAGGGGTCGACGGCGTATGTGAAGGGTTCGCCGGGAGTGGTGTTGGTGTGAGTGTCTTCTTCGGCTGCGCCGTTGTGTGTTTTGTTCCATGCGTCGACTTCTTTTAGCATCTCTGCCCATTTTTCGTCGGAGGGGTCGTTCAAATCATCGAAGGGGAAATCGGGGAAATCCGATGGGAGAAGCGCGCTGAAGTCAATATCGAAATCCTCGAGAGAGTCGAAATCGTCTGCGTACTCCTCGGGCTGCGCGGTCTGTTCGTCATCCGCGAAGCCTGTCGCTGTCAAGGAGTCGCTATGAGCTGACCTGTCCGAAGCATGAAGGCTTTCGGGTTGTTGTTCGTCCAGCTCAGCTGAGATCGGACTGGCTTCCGAATCAGCTTCTACACCCATGTTTGTCCACTTGTTCGAAGGCGAAGGAGTGCTTACTTCCAGGCCCTCTAGCTGCATGGCTGTTAGCATGTCCGCCATGATGACATCCTCACCGGCTTGCCGCTCCTCTAAGGAGGGTATAGACAGTTCGTATTCTGAAGAGAGACCGGTAGGTGTAGAGGTGGGTTGCATGAAGGTAGAGGATTCGGATGGCATAGCATCGATGGTCCCTCGTACTGTCGTAGGCGCCACGGCAATGTATTGAGAATCCTCCGTACTGTAGCTCTCACATATGTGGGAGCAGGCCCCTTGATCTGCACATATATTGCACGTCTGCATCTTATTCTCGTTCTTTGTCGACACGTCGTATGAGAAGCTTTATTGAGCCTGGTATTCTATGTCTTGTTGAAGTCCTAGTTCGTCGGCCGGAATCGATGATTGTTTGATGCTTCTTCTTCAGCCTGACTGATTTTAATCTATGGTCGGTAAGCGTTTTGCATGAACAGGGAGTCTACACAGCAGATGCTATTGTGTGGCTGTGAAACTCATGTCGACTGTAAGTTCGCATAGTGTATACTAGACAGCTAAGGAACATATGTAACAACTATGACAGATGATAACAATGAACGCACGGCGTCTATTCCTAGTTGAGGCGGGAGGTCCGACGCGTATCCCAGTCGAAAGATAACATGAGTGGGTTTCATCAGATTATGTATATGGTTCGCCAGTTCCCACACGTCATTGCCTCAATTTCCTCATCTATAGCCCTCGGGAATGTTCTCATTGGTAACAGAATGTAACGATTGCCTCCCTGACTACGTAAGAATACTCGCCCCGTAAAGCCTTTCAGCAACCATTCCTCGTCGCAAAGCCCATCGATACTATAGTCACGATCATTAAGTTCTAAAGACGTGTAAGAGTACTTCTCATGATATAGGATCGGTTCTGTTTACCTATGGAAACGTGGTCCATATTGACAAGGATTCCGTCGACTTGCATCGCCCGCGGAAGACCACTCAGGGCTTCAGGTTCGTGGAAGGAAGCATTGGCCTGAACCTTCTCCAATTCAGGGTGGTACGATCGCAAGTGATCATCGTCGCGGGCGTAAACACAATTACGCCTCCAATCAACCACCCACGATGGTAAACTAGGGTCAAGAGGTGGTGCTGAATCTATAGCATGCTCTAGTACTTCCAGGCTATTCTCAGTCTTTATGATTCTTATGGTCGAATCGATGAGGACTTGATTGATAGAGTGAGAATAGTTTGGCAGAATGCCATAAGCCGGATCTGTCAGACCAATGTATGCAAACACTTTGTCTCTAGGATCAGAAGCATCGCAGGCCCGAGAATGTCTCAATAGTCTCTTCAAGTCCATTTTTCCACGCCAATTGGATTTGCTCTCAGTTGCTAATGCCACTCTGTTCAAGGGAGCGTTCAGACTCCGCCAGACACCGAATGAAAGGGAGCGACGTTGATGAGGAGTTTCCACAACATCCAAGTAACTCCGCCCGTTGCATATAGCCTTGAATGCTGGCCGGATTGTCTCCCAGGACGCATATATTCCGCTATACATAAACTGAACCTTTGCCGCTACAATGAACTCTTGGAAAACCCAGGCTCTAGTGAACCAGGGCGCTCCAATGACATTGTAGGAAGCACGGCATCCCTCCAAGAACTGCTCGCTCCCCGAGTTTTGACTGATGTAACTTTCCAAGGCAGAATCGTGGGCGCCTTTAGCCCTACTGGCGAAGGATTCATCCTGCCAAGTAGTGTATGTACCATCGGTCAAGATCTGACTTTCCGGTATGGGTATGCTATCGCACTCGCCAGTACCAAGGTCTCTAGCTAGCTGAATGAGCCAGAGCATGCCTCTCGGATCGTCGTTCTTGGTTGACAGACAAACAATGACTTGTTCAGCATACTGATAGATCTCGCGCATAAACCGCACCTGTGATGATCTCTCGTTGATATCATACTAGTTTATGGAGATCTGGTCAATCCACAGTAGACATTCCCTGTCACCGTGTGTAGTGCTCCAAAATTGACGGACTTCCCTCAGAGCATGTGCCAGATTTGCGAACACCTTGAAGGTTGTACCGTGGAGAATGATGGGCTCGGTATTCTTTGCAGACCCAGCGCAATACGATGGAGCCGTGTATCGTCCTTTCATAGCGAGCAATGGGGCACCCGGGAGCAGTGTGCACTCGATGACATCGTCTCCACTGCCAGGCCAGAGTTTGACAAGGCGAATCTCCTGCTGAGCGACATCCAGTTCGAAATATAGGCTACTCGCATGGAACGCGTCGTTATTGGGTGTGCAAAAGATGTCATGGCCAGGCTGGAGCCCGTCAGACTGTAGAGACACTGTCGGCTCTTCCGCCATGGTCGAGTAGCGTTTGACCCTCCCACTAGGCTGGTGCGATGGGTGGAGAGTGGAGAAGATTGCGACGACGCCTCGTCCGAGTGTTCACCCCACATCCCCGCTTCCCTCGCTGCTTCCTCCCATGCCAACTTCCACGTGCAAACTCCCAGCGAACCACGACTGCGTGCGACACACCATACGACTTCTAGCTCTCGTATGTGTTGCGACAGGGCTTACGGCAGAATGTCACAGATGATGCGAGACGGGATGATTCGCGTCGCCTCAAACCCGCGACAGGGCTCGAGTCCTTGGGCTTCCATCCCCAACACGCTCAGGTTGCACCATCGATGACGTCCTCAAACTTCTGGAATCGCTTCGGATTGCCCTTGGAGGATAGGAAGGTCTGCGTTAAAGCTGTGCGAGATCGCTATGAAGACTGTGAAGTAGAAGAGTTTGAGGAACAGGGTTATTGCAGCTACACCCTTCTGGTCACGCCACCAAAAGTCGCTTTTGCGAGGGAAAACACCCGGCATCAGGCTACCAAAGAGAAGGAATGTGAGGATGAGTCTGCTCTCATCGTCCAGCTTCGGCCGCCTCAGCACGCCCTGGACCTCAACACTGTACGCGCTGCTAGCACAGCGCACCCAGCACTAGCCCCCACCATCGAGGATCTCGGTTTATCACTACCCAGAGGCATATGCGCATACGAGACCAGAAAGGTTGATGGCACGCCGCTGAGCCGATTGCAGCAGCATGGACATTCACTCGATGATAGTGCAGGGGAACAACTAGAGCGCCTCATTACAAGTTTCGCGAATCTTATTGCGCAAAGCTGGCACTCGCCACAGAAAGTACATGATATCACCCGAACGGTACGGGCAGATTCGCCCATGGATGAGCGTCCATCGATGCTCGCGCAGTGCCGCGGCAAGGTCGGCTCAACGATGATCTCTAGACTTGAAAGGCTGGCTAGTAAGCTACCGGATGCAGATCTACGCGAAAGAGCGCGAGAGACAATGCGCGCGATACAGCGAATGGAAGACTACCCAGTAGTACTTAATCACGGAGACCTCATCCCATCCAATATCCTGGTTGACCAGAACACCTGGGAGATCACGGGCCTGGTAGACTGGGCGGAGGCGGAGTACTTACCTTTCGGGACCTGCCTGTACGGACTCGAGCATCTCCTCGGAACCATCTCACTAGATTCCTCCACGTCTGCGCCCAAATGGAAATACTTCAACGGCGCGACGCGACTTCGTGAGCTGTTTTGGGCGCGCTTAATTGACGCCGCACCGGGGTCGGAAGCCCGAATGGACGACGTGAGAATGATGAGAGATGCAGGTGTGATGCTTTGGCATGGCATCGCTTGGGATGATGGTGCTATCGATCGCGTCGTCAACGACGTGGATGATATGGAAGAGCTGGTTAAACTTCGCGCGTTTCTGACCGCAGGATGAGAGCTGCCGCGCATAGCCCCAGCGGCGAGCGCATGAGGTATCAGTGTCTTTCCTTTTCGTCATGTCGTTCATTCTAGTTGTTTACGATGTGTCATGCTGGAATTTTGTTCTTGCTGTTGATCGCGGTGCGTCGCGCCTTCCTTTCAAACAGTGGACGTCCCTTCCCACACGTAGTGCACCTTCTACATACATGTAGGCAACATCATAACTTTGTTTGCGACTCATCACTTCGCTCTTCATTCTCGCCTTCGCCGCTATCGTCGTCTGCTCCTCTCCGCCTCGCGGACACAAGAAGAGCGTCGCCAGTAATCACGTTCTCATCTTCACCACCCTAATCCGGCACAGCGCTGTACCATTTCGGCGACGTGATAGTTAGGAACTGGTGAGGAGAATTTGAAATCAACTGAGCGGTGAAGGTTTGACGAACCAGGACAAACATTGAACATCATGGTGTCCACTCGGCGAGGCACTGCAAACGCAGAGCCGGCCACGGCTGGTATTGGACGGCCCAGACCGCTCCGACAGGCGAGCGACACCATACATATCGTCGTTCCCAGCATCAAGAAGGTCGTGAAAGCTCCGGACGATCGAAGAGTGCCAGACACTCCTCCCAGAATGGCGCTTTCCGGCAACATTAGTGAGCATGATCTCAGTCTCACATCCCCGAGTACCGGCGAATCTCCAGTTGTACTCACCATCACGACGCCGAAGAAACGACAAGGCTCAACTGATCCCACCGATCGAACAGTCTCCTCCGCCCTGCGAAGGCTCGCACCTAAGCCTTTCGCAAACATGAGCGGCAGCAGCCACAACCCCATCATCGTCAACGAGGATCCATCCCCTCCACGGCGAGCAACGCGAGCCCCGAAGCGCAGACAGAAACACAAAAAGCTGTCGGAACCGCATCAGTTCATTGGCAACGGATATAGAGAACTATACAGCTACGGTGTCTCCAGACCGGCATTGGCAGCCATGCCTGCGAACGGTAGCACATTCACCGGGCACCAGAGCCATGACATCTATCGCATGATGAGTGCGAAGATCACTGCCGCGCCTGAGATCAGTCCGAACGCAGCATGGGGCCGACACACGCTCAATGTACCTTTCGAGGTACAGTATCCGCTCTCCGCGCCGGTTCTTGCGCAACACGCGCCACAACACCAACCATCATATGCGCAACACTACCATGTTCAAGTTCCTTCCAACACTTACGTCTTGCCAATCGTTCCCTCCCAGAACGAGAACTCGCTCCGTAGGAGAGCTGTCCATCACATCCAAGAGTACTCACGACCTTCGCCACCGAAGAGAAAGCTCGCCGATGCTGACCTTGCTGAAACCAGCGATGATGAAGCTAGAGAACACCAGCGGCATGCTCGACCGCAATCGAGCCGTCCAACTACTCAAACAAATGCCACACCTACATCCAGGGTACGCAACGTTGACCAACACAGGAATCACACGCCAACGGTACATCGCGACCCAGATCCCAACCTCCTCGTCAGTCACCTCATTGAGCACACCTCACTTATCACATCCTTACTACAAGTCTATCCTCACTGTACAGACAAGAAGGGTCTACAAAACGATATATCGATGATGGTTCAGATTCAAAATCAATATATGAGCGCTTGGATGAAGACTGAATCACAGAGCTCGCGCAAGAGAACAAAGAACAACGGTGATGGTGCTGTCAGTCTGGCGACCCACCCACAGCCCAGCATAACTCCTGCGATGAAGGATCAGAATGAGAAGGACCATTCAGTGCGTCAGGCTCTTTCTGCTGATGCCGACATGTGGCAAGATGGTACGGGGCATGGTGTTGCGGATGCGTTTGCGGCGGTACCTGCTTCTTCGCCCGTAGCAAATAGCTCTGATGAAAAGATGGTCGCTCCCGAGAGTATGCTTTCAAGTGCGGCAAAGAAACGCCAGCATACCCAGAAAAAGATTATCGCCAAAGACGCCGTCTTCAAAACCCCACAACAGTCGATCTCGGATCCGGGAGCAACGTCGACCAGGCACAAGGGTATTCTCGTTACACCTATTCGACAGGAAGCACCACAGACACCTGAACAGTTGTCGACGGGGGCCAAGGACATCCCCGCGACTATAAGCTACACGAGTCACCCATACGCTCCTTCCAAAGACCTGAAAACTCCCACAAAACTGCCTCCCCGCTCTGCCAGCTCTCCAGTCACACCAACCACCAAGGATGACGCTTCATCTCAACATGGCAACGGCAAGCATTCTTCTTCCCGCAGCAAGCGCAGCGCCCCTATACGACCTGCCCTCAGCTCTGAGGTCGGCAAACTCCAAGTCCCCGGTAATGGCGACGCTTCAAGCAGCTTTCACAGTGAAAGCTCGAGCGACTTTGGTACCCGAAGACCGGTCTTTCGCTTTGAACGACGTGTTGTTGATGAGGGAGGGGAAGTTGAAGCGAATGATGTTCCGACATAAGCTCCGCATGAGTAGGTGGAAGGGACGGCATGCGAGCGAGAGCTGTTCAGAGTATGGGTGTCTGCTGGAAAGTCGAGGAGCATCTGGACAAAATGTACATGTATGTTCGATGTAACATGGGGGACAGCATTCTCTTGTATGATAACCATGGGCAAGTGGCGAAAAGAAGGTGGCATGGTTGTTGAAGGTGCGATTTTCAGAGATCGGGCCAGGTCCTAGGACCACTTAAGAACGGGATGACTCATGTCTCATGATCCATATTCTATCTGGGTATCAAGTTACTTTTCCCTTTTTCCGCTCGTCTGCCATGAAAAGAACATGCCCTTTTCGGTCCATCTCATACAAGTAACGATACTCAAAATAAATGCCATCAACGTATGCCTGACCCCACTTAATTTCCCTTATTCCCCCTCTTACCACCCCTCTTCTTCCTCTCGACATGCCCCTGCATCGTCCTCTTAACATCCCCCAAACTGCGCTTATTCTTAAACCTCGCCTTACCCAGCGTCATAAGGAAATTCTTCTTCCTCGCCTTCTCCTTGTTCGTCGTACTCTTGCCCTCTTCCGCCTTCTTGGCCTGGTGCTTCGCCGCTTTGGACGTGTGGTTCGTTTCGCGGTCTGCCCTGGCAAGAGCAATCTTCTCTTCCTTGGTATTCTTCTTGCCGATTTTGGCGGCGAGCTCGATGGTCTCGGCGGTGATGGCTTCGTCGGCGTGGCGGGCGGCGAGGAGCTGGGCGCGCTTGGAGGAGCCGGCGAGGGTGGAGGTTATTGTGCTGGAGGCGCGGAGGGCTTGGAGTTGTTTGAGGTCGGCGGGGGTGAGGATGGTGGTTGTGAGGAGTTTGGAGAGGGATTTGGTTTCTGGTTCGACGCTTTTGGAGTTTTCCTTGTCGTCGGATGGGCCGGGGGTGGCGCTGTCTAGCTTGGCTTTCTTTGCGGGGCGTTCCTTCTTGTCCTTTTCGTCTTCAGAGTCGCTGATTTGGATGTCTTCGCCGTCGCTTTCGACGTTGATCCAGCCGCCTGAGTCGTCGCTGTCGCCTTCGCTTTCCACGTCCCACTTCTTCCAGTCCTCTTCGTCGTCGAGGTCGACGTCGCCGTTGTCTGCGTCGGGATCTAGACCAGCCTCTATGAGCTTCTTTCTGCGCTCCTCTTCCTTCCATTTCTCGAGCAACTCGATGCCCTCAATCTCTCCAATAGCTTCTTCACCATAGCGGCGTTCTTTGATAGTACCAGCGCGGATACCCATTGTCGCGTCCTTGCCACGATCGCGTTTCTTGAGGAGGTCGGCGCCGACTTCGCGGTAGAGGGAGAGGAGACCTTTGGCGGCCATCATTGTACCCTTGTCTTTCGATTTACGGTACTATTAAGCGTTAGTATATAGTATGGTATCGGGTTCTAAGGAGCCAACTTACCATGACCAAGTCTTGAAGCAGAGTATCTGTCATGGCCAATGGCTGACGTGCGCAAATCTCACGAATGGAATTCAGACCTGCTGCCGCGACCTCAGAGGCTGAGGCTTCTGACACGAACTCGTTCGCGATCTTCTGCACAAGCGGCTCAAGAACGTCGGGCGGTACATACGAGTGTGTCGCTTGCGCTAAGCACGCCAAGTAAGTCGTGACTGAGGCTTGCCGAGGAGTGAGATGTTTCAGGAAGTATGAGTATAGCGGGAGGACTGTGAGCTGATGTAATCCAACGAGGCGAGTGACAAGCTGCAGTGCCAGTAGCTTCGTCTCAAGGGCAAGCTTGTTCTTGGTGTTCTGGATGTGCTTAGAGAAGACGGTTTCGGCGAAGCCTTGAGGATCGTGGAGAAGGTGTAGCGCACTGAAGTTGAGGGGGTGGGGTGCGTTCTTCTTCTTTGCCTTCTTCTTGAGACTGGTAGCTGCGGACTTGATGTCGCGGGCCTTCTTCTTGCTCTTCTTGTTGATTCCGGCCGCGTGCTTCAGCTTTCCAATGTCCACATCGTTGTCGTCATCGCTGCTTTCCTCTGCGGCGGCTTCTCGCTCCTGATCACCACCGAGGAAGAACCTGAGGCCGCCCGAGATGGTCTTTTCGTTGTCGCTCAGTGCTGCCAGTCGCATGACCTCGACGGCGCGCGTATCTGTCCATATCTGTCGTTTCCACAGCTCTCTGGTGATCTTGACGGCCCAGAGACCCTTCGGCGAGGAGGTATCGGATTCTAAGAGACTTGGGACGGTTAGTCGGGAACGCCAAACATTGGGAGAGTACTGCATACTTGTAAAGTGCCGTTTGCATAGATTTGTTGAGCTTGTGGTTCACAGTCTTCGCGTTGGACGAACGTAGATCTGAGATAATCTTGGTGTAGAGCAATTGTCGCAGACTCTTGCTGTTGGTCGCCACAAGGAGCGGGAACAGTGTGTTGAGGAGTTTGACCGAGTCTATGACTTCTTTGCGCTTGAGCAAGCAGTATGCGCCGACGATCTTGTCCCTCAGGTCGTACTCAAGCACCTCATGGTGGGTGAGCAACAGCTCCAGATCCCTGGGGAACTCGGATGCAACATCGGGATAGAGATCCGAGGTATGCGAGACGAACTCAATGAGATCCTTCAGCGCAACCAGACCGCTGTCTGAGGTGCTCGGGTCGGCAAGGAACAGGTCGAGAAGGGTTCGGTACTGCTGGTACTGCTGCTCGAAGTCGTCTCTGTACGATTGGGGGTCTCGCTTCAGCTTGAACCGGAGTGCCGCATGGTCCGATTCGAGCTTCTCTAGGGCGCCAACTTTGCGCTTCATGGTGTATATATGGTTATCGTGGTTGTGTCAGTTATCGACAGTCGTCTGTATGCGCCTTCGAGGACTTTGCGACATGAAATTTTAGTGGGGCCCATCCCACCAATTGGCCAGGGCGGACCGACACTAGGCCGAGAAGCTCTGGCCTCTTCGCGCGTAAATCTTTCTCACGAGCCTCGACAACTTGTGCCCGCAACTCTTCAGCCGCGCTGCCTGACACCGGCGCGCACTACACTCTGCAAGCTCGAGCGTTACTTTCGGTTGTCACGACTTAATTTTGAACTTTTCCCACACGCGCTCAAGACCTCGACGCGACGAGAGTAACTGGGCCAGCGCCCACCGCCGCCCATCATGACGAGCTTCTCCTCCATGTCCCTGTACGCCTTGACGGTGAAGCAGCCGACAGCTACTCAGGACGCCATCTCCGGCGACTTTCTCGGAAACGGAAAGCAGCAAATCCTCACAGCGAGCGGCTCGCGGCTAGCTATCCTGGAGGTCTCGCGGCGGCAGAAGGGCTTCCAAGAGCTCTACTCGCAGGATGTCTTTGGCATCATTCGCCGTATCGCCAAGTTCAGGATCGCGGGCGGAACCAAAGGTATGTCGGTCCTACTTCCCCGCTACAAGCAGTATAGTGATTTTCAAAGCACACGACACCTCCGAGCTCCCAGCTCACTGAGCCCGCGGTGGACTGGATTGCAATTAACAAGAACCTCTGCTGACTCCGTCAGACCATATCGTCATAACCACCGATTCAGGACGGTTGGTCACGTATGAGTACATGCCAGATGAGCACACCTTTAAGACGGTCCACTTCGAGACGTTCGGCAAGTCTGGAATACGACGCGTAGTGCCGGGCGAGTATCTGGCAGCCGACCCGAAAGGGCGCGCTATCATGATCGCCTCGACGGAGAAGAACAAGCTTGTCTACATTCTCACCCGAAGTGGCCAGACGGACATCGCCATCTCCTCACCGCTAGAGGCACACAAGCCACAGACGCTAGTGTACTGCCTCATCGGGCTTGATGTCGGATACGACAACCCAATGTTCGCTACTCTCGAGGTGGACTACTCCAACTCCGAGACCGATCCTACCGGCGAAGCGTACGACGAGATCAAGAAGGAGCTGGTATACTACGAGCTGGATCTTGGTCTGAACCACATCGTTCGGAAGTGGTCAGAGCCAGTTGATCGGACTGCCAACACCCTCTTCCGGGTACCAGGTGGTCCAAATGCTCCAAGCGGTGTTCTGTGCTGTGGAGAGGACAGCATCACCTACCGCCGTATCTTCAACAACAAATCGAGCGTCCACCGACTGGCCATTCCACGCCGTGAGGGAGCTACCGAAGACCCCAACCGTAAGCGCATGATTGTTGCTGGCACTCTGTACTCTCTGAAGGGCGGCGATTTCTTCTACCTCCTACAAACAGAGGATGGCGACGTCTTCAAGCTTACCGTGGAAGCAACAAATGGCACAGTCGACAAGATCAAGATCAAGTACTTTGATACTATCCCTGTCGTCACCAGCATCTGCATTCTCCGGGCAGGTTTTGTGTATGCTGCCTGCGAATCTGGGGACCGCATCCTGTACGAGCTAGAGTCGTTGGGAGACGAGACAGAGGACCCCGTGTTCGAGAGTGACCAGTTCCCTGTCGATCCGGAGACTTCTTTAGCGCCTCCTTTCTTTAAGCCTCGAGCCCTGGTCAACCTCACCGCGGTAGAGTCGATGGCCAGTCTGAACCCGATCATGGGTATGGAGGTTGCCAACCCTGCCCTCGAAGACGCGCCACAGGTTTACACGATCAATGGCACAGGAGGCCGAAGTTCGTTCCGCACTACCAGGAATGCTTTGGAGGTCTTGGACCTCATCGAGTCGCCTTTGCCGCAAAACGCGTCAGATGTTTGGACTACAAAGCTCACCAGCGAAGACGAGACTGATACCCTCATCGTGATGTGCCTTCACAGCAGAACATTAGTTCTGAAAATCGGCGATGATGTTGAGGAAGCCTCTAACACTGGCTTCCTCCCAGATACAAACACGCTCGGTGTGCAACAATTCGGTGAAGACTGTATCATCCAGATCCATCCCAAGGGTATCCGCCACATTCAGGGTATCCAGTTTCCCAACGAAGATGCGAGCGCGACACATGCTAGTTTGACTGATTGGCAACCTCCAGCCCATCGTACCATTGTAGCCTGCGCCACAAACAACCGACAGGTTGCCATCGCGCTGAGTTCGGGCCAGATCTTGTACTTTGAGTGCGACTCCGATGGTTCACTTGCTATGGCTGAGGAGGAGATTGCCCTGGACAGCACCATCAACTGCCTGGCGATGCCCGATGTTCCAGAGGGTAGCGTGCGAGCTTTCTTCTTGGCTGTTGGCTGCAGCGACCAGACCGTCCGCATATTCAATCTGAGTCCTGACATGGAAGGCAATATCCTACGAAGCATCTCTGTTCAAGCTCTTACATCACCGCCGAGCGACCTGACCATCAACCTCATGACAGACAAGTCGCCCCGTGGATACAGCCAGTTCTTGCACATTGGTCTGCGAAGCGGTGTATACATTCGATCAGTACTGGATGAGATGACCGGAGACATCGGTGACACCCGGAGGCGCTTCCTTGGCCCCGAGCCTATCAAGTTTGCGAAGGTGACTGTTGCCGGCGAACCTGCTATCCTCGCAATGACCTCAAGGCCATGGCTAGGCTACACCCATCCCCGGACCGGCGTATTGCAGCTGACACCCTTGAACTACATCCCTTTCAAGTCCGCTTGGAACTTTGATGGTTCTCAATTCAAGGGAATCATCTGTGTCAGCGCTAATGAGTTACGGTAAGCACCCCCTATTTCTTTCGCTCCAACTGCAATGATGAAAATATGTTTCCTACCGTCGAATCAAGATGAGGCTGAAACAAAATTTCCAATTGTTCCTACTGAAAGCAGTTACCAACTCATTTTTGTCAAAACTACAAAAAAAATGAACAGTTGCTAACGAAACAGAATCTTCACCTTCAACGACTTGACGGACAACACGACCTACGAGAACATACCACTCAAGTACACCCCCAGGAAGATGGTCGGATGGCACGACCAGGGTGTCTTCTACGTGATCGAGAGCGATAACAACACTATCAGCGCCGATAGACGCCAACAGCTGATAGCACATGCTGGTGTAAAGAAGGAAGAGACCGACGGCACCAACGGCTCCATGAAGACTGAGGATGTCGATGGTGATACGGCAAACGGCACAACCGATGGCGACGAACTCCCAGCGATCGACTTTGGATATCCAAGGGCGCAAGGCAGCTGGGCCTCTTGCATCCAAGTTGTCGACCCTGTGAGCGAGAAGACCGTCACCCACACAGTGGAGCTCAACGGCAACCAGTCACTTGTCAGTGCTGCTTTGGTCTTCTTTGAGAGCCGCGGTGACGAAGCATTCCTAGCTGTCGGTACTGCTAAAGACTTGAGCTTCAACCCCTTCAAATACACATCTGCTTCTATACAGGTGTACAAGATTAACCCCACTGGCCGCGAGTTGGAGTTCTTCCACGAGACCGAGGTCAGCGATCCACCTCTAGCGCTACTAGCTTTCAAGGGAAAGCTTATCGCTGGTGTTGGTCGTCACCTGTGTCTTTACGACTGTGGTATGAAATCGGTCCTCCGTAAAGCTCAGGCTCCGAACTGCGTAGCGACACGTATTACCGATCTCAAGACTCAAGGCAGTCGACTTGTTGTTTCCGACCAGGCGCAATCCGTCACCTACGTTGTACACAAGGACCAAGTCCACCCCAACCGTCTCATTCCTTTTGTGGATGACACCATCGCCCGTCATACCTCCGCATCAGAAATGCTGGACTACGATACCACAGTCGGTGGTGACAAGTTCGGCAATATCTGGCTCGTGCGCTGCCCCCAGAAGGTTTCCGAGTCTTCAGACGAATCGCCCGACGGCTCCGATCTACTAGTAGACAAGGGCTACCTGGGTGGTACACCGAACCGTCTTGACCTCATCGCACACTACTTCACAAACGACATTCCTGTGTCGATACAAAAGACGGTTCTCTTGTCCGGTGGTGAGCGCATCATCTTCTGGGCCGGTCTCCAAGGCACTCTTGGTGCCCTCATCCCCTTCAACTCCCGCCGACAACACAAAATGTTCCAGCAACTGGAGCTTCAACTTCGGTCGGACGATAAGCCTTTGTCTGGCCGGGATCATCTCGCCTTCCGCAGCTACTTTGCGCCGGTCAAGAGCGTCATTGATGGCGATCTGATCGAGCGCTTCTTAGTACTGTCACGCGACAAGCGGGAGAGCATCGCTGGGCAGATGACGGGTGCAGAATGGACCCCCAGCATGATTGATGAAGCGATCTGGAACATGCGGGGTCTCTATGCCTTCTAGTAGAAGCATGTTTTGTGCACATTACGGCGTTTGGAAATACGGGCCACGAAAAGCGGTTGTTACTTATAACCCGCGCTCCTAGCGTCTTTGATGAATGGGGTGCAGTAATTGTATTTGTACATAGGAACGTAGGTCACAATAGACCCAAATGATACCCGAGAGTCCTCTTCAGCTGTGTTCGAAGATGATCTAAGTCTGGTCCGTGGTATTCCACCTTGTGTCACGGCTACCGGCACAGCTCCTCAAAAGCCCATTCCCCCAACAACGAGCCCCCCTATCATGACAGCCACCGAAATCGCCATCAACCCTCCACTTCGTACCCTCTGCGCAACGCTCTTGGCATCCTCCCCACCCAACCTATACCCATTCGACCCCGCAATAACAACGTTAAAGTCCCACTCCGTATACCCCGTATTCGTCGCTCCTTCTTCCTCTACCCCTTCGCCCCAAAGCGCACATTTTATTATCGTCCGACTGGCTGCGTCTCTGCAGTTTGGACCGAGGTGGATGGAGGGTGAGCGCTCGAAGTAGAGGTTGAAGCCGTTGCAGATTTGGGGGTGGGGGGATGCTGATGCGGAGGGGGAGGGTATTGGAAGACCGGATGGGGGCGTTTGATTAGATGGAATGGAAGTGAAGGATCTCGTAAATCCCTCCCGCTCCGGTCCATCATCACCCCATCCATCGCACCTCCTCGCACAATCCCCCGCATTATACGAACGCAGCTCGTAATGTCCCAGATACCCACTTCCGACATACGAAGCGTTGAGGTCTTGGAAAGAGAGCGTGTAGCGCGATGGTGTGAGGGCGGAGAGAGCGGGTTGCCGGATTTGAGGCCAGGTGGAGAAGGAATATGGGGTGTATTCGACTGGGGGGAGGGGGCCGTAGGAGGGGGGGAGGGGAAGGCAGGTGAGGTTGAGGGGGGTGGGTTGTGTGGGTAGTGGGGAGGGGAGGAGGGGTGTGGTTGTTGGGGTTGGGGTTGAGGGTGATGGTGTGGTTGAGGGTGATGGAGGAGGAGGAGGTGGTGGAGGCGGTGCGTAGTTGATGATTGATGTTGAAAAGGACATGCTTTGTGTGGATGCAAAGGATATGTTCGTGAGGTTCGATTTCGGGTGTTGTATTAGCCTGGGGGCGGGTGTTGCTGCTGTTATGCTGAGGGAGCTGGAGGGGATTGCGTACGCCATCTTTTCTTTGGTTTGCGTGAGATGCAGTGTCTGAAGAGTCTTAAGTTTGGACGTTTGTGCGCGAGGAAATGTTTTTCGTACTCCACTGTTGCGGACGTTGTGTGGTAGCGATATAGGTTTTGCACCACTGAGGCGACTTATAATACAAAGCCACCTCGCTACTTGCAGAAGTTGGATACAACAGTGAGGTTTTGTAATTCTGTTGTGTGATTGGTGTTTAATGTACATCGTCTCTAGGATAGTTTACATAGTCACACGTCCTCACGCGACTACCGCTGGTGCGATACCATACTCAACAGCATATTGCCTCAAGCTCCAAACGTCGTCCACTGTCTGTCTCAGCCTCAGCCTTTAATCCCTCCCATCACCGAAAGCCTACTATAAACCGTTGCATGGTCCCTAAACGCTTTCTGACCTGTCCACAAATTCGTCAGCCTATTCTATTCAAGCTTCAACCAGCAATCCCAACTCAGGAGAACTGACCTTTCAAACACCGTTCCACAACTCCAATCCACAAATCCCTCCCTTTCACCCTCGCCTCCTCCTCTCCCCACTGCCCGATCTCCCTCAAAAACGCTTCTTTCTCCCGCATCGTCATCCTATCTTTCATCTCACTCAGTGTCTCGGTGTTTGTCCGAGTGGTCACAATGACAGCACCTGATTTGGGCAAACGCGCATACATCTGCGTTTCTGTACGTACGAGCAGTTCAGAAGGGTGTAGATCAGCTATGTGGCCAGCGAAAAAGTCCATGGGCCGCGGGATGTGGAGGGTTGAAGCTAGAGTGGCGCGGAGGGGCCGGGTTTGGATGAAGGTTTGCGTGTGGGATAGGGGGCCGGTGGAGGAGTAAGGGGAGAGGGTTGGGAGGGTGAGTTTGAGGATGGATTGGAGGCCTGTGATATGTGTGTTAGCTTGAGTTGCGCGACTTCTTGGGAAAGAAGAGAGAATTGCAACTCACCAGACCAAGGTATCATCGGTGGTTTCCCCATCCCCTCCCCACCCACCACTACATCAACCGTCTTCCCCATATACGGACTTACAACATACCCGCTCGGAAACAGCGTCGTAGCAGCTTGTAAATACCAATTCAACGTACTCTCACTCCGCCCCCAAACCATGAAATCCTCCGCACACAACCTAGCAACTACCTCCAACGGATGACATTCCAAACCATGTTCTATCTCGAAATCCTCTCTCGTAAGCTCATTCAACACATGCTTCCTGCGCGTCTTCGTCAGAAAACGGAATTGGTGCGGATACATGTCCACGAGGAAAGACGTGACTTCCTGCAGGAGTTCGCGACTTGCTCGTTCGCCCTCGGAGGTGACGTGGATGCAGGAGGAGCGGTTGCGCGACAGGAGGTGGGTGCGCGCGGCGTGGTATTCGATGTATTGGGGGGAGATGGTGAGCCAGTTGCTGCGGGGTGTGGGTGTGAGACCTAGATGCGAGGCAGTAAGGGTGTTGGAATGGAGGGATGTGGATTCGATGGGCCGGTTTGTAAGGGGTATGTCTGGGAAGTAGTCGCCTGTTCCGCAGTCGTCGGCGTCGAAGGCGGGCATGCGCGAGATGCGGCGTTCTTCGGCTAGGTAGGCTCGTGTTTGCGGGTTTGTGAACTGGCTTAGGTCTTCGACATCTTCGATGTCTTGGAGGTTGACTGTTGCTGTTGCAGTAGATAAGTTTCGGGGGGAGAACGCGGTGCTGTGTGCTATAGTCTCTGTCGGCGCTGATAACGAGTCGTGGGTGAAGACGGTCATGCGCCGCTTCCTTAGGGCTTCAGCGCTTGTTCCGGGCTCGTTGTATTTGCTGTGGATGGGCGCCGCATGGTGATCTTCTACCTGAGGCTCGTTTTTGATGACGATGAACTTCTCTGGGGCAGGGCCGAGGGCGCCTTTGTAGAACCAGAGCCTCACTGCGGCGGTGCCTATGAAGAAGAAGTAACAGCAGATGCCGACAACAAGAACGAGCAGGACGTATAGGGGTATTGGTCCGGGTTGTTGCAGGTGTAGTGGGTCTACTGCCATGTCGAGCAGCTGGATAGATAAGAATGTAGTCGCACTGTGGGCTTTGAGCGGCGGAATTGTGTACAAGTCCAGGTTGCCATTGCTGAGGTTGCAGGTGCAGTGACATGTCTACGAACCTTCAGTACTGTGCCAATGTGAATGATGTGCATTTGAATTCGAGATTGAATGCTGTAGTGTCTTCACAGTACCGCTTGCTAGCATTAGTCATGTCGATAAATAGGTAATAACAAACGATACCCTTTCGTTTCGATCGTCGTAAGTGTCAGTGTGTGCCGTGTAAAGTAAGGAAACCCAAAGAACAGGAAAGTGTAGGAAAGTTGGAGATGAAACAAAGAATTGGGTATCGTGTTGCTTGGCTATGTAAAGTAAACAATTAGCGGGACGCCGTACTCCAGTATGTTCTCCTCCGTGTGCCGATATTGAACCATTGGTATGACTTCGCGTGAAACAAAAAGCGTCAGAAGAGCATTAGCCACACCCACCCCGAACCATACGAAGAATCTCGCCCAATATGAGCTCCTTCGTGACCATAACATTCATAAACTGGACATCCAACTCTTACTCGATCTTAGGCAAAGCATCAATCTTCGCATACAGCTCCTGCGCATCCTCGAAGATATACCAGATATCCTTAGGTACACCCTTGAACGCCTTCTCGAATCGTTCCGGGTCGTTCTTCCTGCCCTCGTCCATCTCCGCTACGCCCGTGACTTTCCTGATGTAAATAGCGCCGATCCAGTTCTTGCCAAACTTGCGGTAGGCTTCACCATAAGACTCAGGGTCTGTTTGTGTTGAGTCACCGATGAGGATGAACTTGCGTTTGGGGAACCATCCGTGGACCTTCTCGATGCGATCAACCTTGTAGGCCTCAGTGCCCTGAGTCAAGTTTGCGAGGAAGCCAGCAAGGTTCATCCAGCTAGCATCGCGGAGGATCATGGTGCCGTTGGGGTAGTATTGCTCGCGGAACTTGCGGAGGAAAGGGTAGAGGTTGTATGGTGACGCTGAGAGGTACCAGAAGGGCGGGTTGTCGAGCTTTTGTACAATGTGCCTGTACAGTTCTGGCATACCCTTGATGGGCTCTGGCTCTTCGGCGAAGGTGGTGGTCAGGATACCGACGGGTGACGATGTTAGAGTCTTCTTGATAGTGTCGTCCACATCGGACAGGATGGCCCAGCCCTTGGGTTTGGCGAATGTGATATTGAACGGCGTTGCATCGGCGTTGACGGCCTTGAACTTGTTGACTTGGCCTTCCTTGTAGTCGTTCCCTGGAATAGCCAAGACATCGGAGCTGATACCGTCGCGTCCGCTGGGACCCAGTCTGGTGTTGATGCCCAGTAGATCGATTTGGACGGCATGCGCGGGAAGGATCTGGTCCGCAAAAGGCTGGAGCCTCTGTGCGACAGTTGCCCTGGCTTGCTCGTCGTCTGCTAGGCCGATCTTCTCACTGACCCATGCGACGACCTTGGAGAGGTCCTTGCCACTGTTCTTGACGAAATAGGCAGCGACGAATTCGGCGTTCCATCTTCCTAGGCGGTTCTGGTATGCGGTAGTGTCCAAAATCCACACATAGTCGGTTTCTGGATTGACGTTGTTGTAGAATGGGTTCTTGCGACCAAAATATGATGAAAGATTGTCCTTGAGGGAGAAGCTAAATCGGCTAGTGAGTTTCGGCATGTCTGCTTCAAATGCGTCGAAGCCTGAGTTTTCTCTGGTAATGCGATCTTGTTCGGTTTGTTCGGTGCGCATACGAGCACGGCCAGCCATGGCGGAAGCGGATTCGGGAGCCATTTTGTATGATGGTAATGTTAGACAAAGGCGCGGGTGCCTGATGGGTTGGTGAGGTCAGGAGGTGGGTGTATTGCACGGGACAAAGGGAGGCGAGGGCCATGGTCGAGGTCATATACTTTGTGCCTGGCACTTGACCAGGACTTGACGAGTGGCTGTTGCGGTGTCTCAGGAATGGCCCAGTGTGCATGAGGGATGACGTTTAGCCAAGCCATGGCTCCGCATCCTGTAGGAATGATCGCTTGCCGAGCGCGCCGATCCTTGAACCTTGTCGGCGTATCGCCTCGAGTTAGGAGTGACAACTCAGCAGCTGAGCGAGGTGATGAATCGCAAGCTATTTGTGACCTCACAAGAGACCTTTCCTTCTATTTGGACCCCTTCTTGAAATTGCGCCCTCAGGGTAGAGGTAGTAATTTGTGTTATGAGTCTTCCAGAAAGAGTATTGCTGTGCCTAGGGTTTGCTCCAAAGTACAAACTGACCCAAACGAGCTTCTTCGTCTTTCAGCGGGTGTTGCAAGTGCAGGTAGCCACACTGCAGGCGGAGAATAATGTGAGGGTCTAGCAACACGCCAACGCCAGACAAAGCAAAGCACTCCGCGATACTTTGAAGGTAGTCGCAGCCTCCAGCACTAACAGCGGAGTAGTGCAGTCGCAGCAGGCTGCAGCGAATGGGTGCCTCTCATCGTGCCAATGCTAGCGGAGTGACGTAACCACGGTCAACGATCTTGGGTCAGTCCACGGGTATGAGTCTTGATATCTGCAGGTACGCGTGACGGTCAATACTCTTGCGCTCATATGGGGTATCGCTGACAGTGTCGGTTGATGAAAGCCATGCTTGGCTGTGCCAGACTTTGTCGAGGATGAGATGGAATCGGATGCTACTGAAGAGTCATGCTGCGACGCGATGTTGACGTATCTTGCAGCACTGTCGCATTGGAACGGCTATATCGGTACTGTGCTCAAGCTCGTCACCGTCACACCTCGCTCGGCGACAAAGGAAATTATTGTCATCGCTGCCCTGGTTTGGTTCTGTGTTCAACCGCCTTTGGCCTCCTCATCTTGGTGTCGCCCGTCGAATAGGCGCGATATGGTATCATGCGGCGGTGCCACAGGCTAGGAACCCGGTCATGTGCTACAGTGTCGACGTATTCTGCGATGGCCCCAAGGTGGATGAACGAAAAGGGTCCGATTAACGCAGACTACGGGCCAGTGGGGTCTGCAGGTAAAGGCCGATGGCAGGTCTTGGCACAGCCTACGCCATCCAGGACGCGTAGATGTGCCGAACGAGAGGAGTAGATTTGAGAGCAGCACAGAGATGGGTGCAGCGTCGCCACACGTTATACGCGGCTGTTTACGTCGGCCGTCGTGCTTCGCGAGTCTGTCATGGCTTGGCGACAAGAGGCGCAGCCCTACCTAGGTAACCGTCCGTCCGCGCGAGGCAGGCGCGTTGGAGGCCTCGATCAACACCTCGATAGTACCGCATCTGCCTCCTTTACGCTTACGCCCCGGCCTCGCGACTCTGGCTTCTTTGCGCTTCTGTGCTTTCTTTTTGCGCAGCTGCCCTCAAATACCCTTGCGACCGTTTTACGTTGCGGAACGGCCCCGCTACTAAGGCAGATATGGACCTCAAGAAGCGCCTCAAGTTGGGCAGTTTGATGCGCAAACGATCCTGTGCGTCGCATCTCCTTCGTTTACTTACTTCACCCTAACACTGACAGCGCACGCAGCCCAGGATGTCAATATCGACACAAACGCCGATACGCCCGAGGCCAATGCTACCAAGGGAGTGGTAGGTCATACCGCTTCGTCGCATCCACCAAGCTGACAGCGAGTAGATGCTCTTCTGCGAGTCTGGTGCCGCCAACTCGGTATGTTTGGTACCCCATGATAATCACACGCCATACTAACATGCCCAGGGTGAAGAGGTCCTCCACTTGCCTACCATCGTCGAAGCCGCCGTCGCAAGCCCCAGCGCAGCCGCAGCCGCCGCAAGACAGATCCGCATCTTCCTCTCCAAAGAGAACTTCAACCGCCCTCATGTCCAGTACAATTCTGTCATGCTCATTAGGATCCTGGCCGACAACCCAGGGCCCTCCTTCACCAAGAACCTCGACAAGCAATTCGCCGACACGGTCAAGCACCTACTTCGCCATGGGCAAGACCCGAGTGTCGCGCAAATCGTCAAGGAGACGCTGGATTCAATGGAGCGCGAGAAGGCATACGACACCAACCTGAACACGCTCTTCGCTATGTACAGGAAGGAGAAGGGCCTCATGGCAGCCGCGGCAAAGCAGTTTGGCCCCCGGAAGCTCAATGCGCCAGGCTGGTCGGGGTCACAGAACATACACGGCGGCTTCAGCTCAGGCGGACACAGGTCATCGTCAAAGACCTTGCCGCCGCCAGTAGAGCTCGCGGGCCGCATTGAGGAAGCGCGCACATCGGCCAAGCTCCTTCTCCAGCTTGTACAGTCTACACCAGCGAATGAACTGCTCGGCAATGACTTGGTTAAGGAGTTCGCTGAGCGCTGCACAGCCGCCCAGCGCAGTATACACGGCTACATCGCCTGCGACAATCCGGCGCCTGACGATGACACTATGCTCACTCTCATCGAAACCAACGAGCAGCTGTCCCTCGCTGCCTCCAAGCACCAGCGCGCCATTCTTCAAGCTCGTAAATTCATGGGTGCCTCACCCTCTCCACCAGTCCAGAACGGAGCCTACGCGCCACCACCCAACGGCACCAGTAGTCCAGCTGGTGTGCCTGCGCAGTCTCCCGGGCTGTCAAATCTACCATCGCACAGCGACGCGCCTTCGCTGGCCCCTATGGACTTCGGAACGACACAACCTAGTGCACCGGCTACCAACCACGGCAATGACAACAGCTCTCTTCCCCCGTCACTGCAAGCTGCACCAGGCCGCACACAACCGAGCGCACAAGAAGAGAATCCCTTCGCTGATCACTACACGACTACCTACACACCTCCAGCATCGTACCAAAACTCTACGTCGACGAACAATTACGGTGGCTCACCAGACCCATACCACCCAGGCTTCCAGTCTACTCCATCATACCTGGGTAGGCAAGAGAGCTCTGCCAATAATTTGACCATGCACGGTGCGCAACCGACGATTCAAGAAGAGGATGACCACATGCGCCCGCGGGCCGAACGACCTCGGACACCCGATCTCAACGTGCCTCAGCAACAGGCCCCTGACGTTTCGCCCGTCGCAGAGCGTAATACCGTCACGTACAGATACTAGAGAACCATGGGTCGTGTCGCGGACTAGACGCGGACGTGAGATGTGGGGTAACGTTTGGCAGGACCGATTTCAATCTTGGATCCCACGGGTAATCCCGGTGCTTTGAAATCGATAATCACAAAGTGCACGTTCTTTTTCTTGCGCAGAGTTTTGCAACTCGTAGTTTACAGGGCGGTTTGGAGCGCGACAGTTAGGACGAGATACCATAGTTGACTTTCATCTGGATTTAGAGTTTATTCTACCTTGCCTGCCCCGCACTTCCAAGCGCACCCCCACGGCCATGCAGTGACCTCGTGCGTCTCACGCGTCGCTCTCGTGCAGCGATCACGCAATCCATCGATTCCACACTGCGCCTGATTCCTGAATCGTCACCATGATACGGCACTTTCACCCATGCATCAGCTTGGTCAGCGACGGCTCGCAACCGACCCCTCCAATCTGGAAGGCGAGACCCGACGTCCCCCACTGCGGTCCCTGTTCCGCCGCTTCTAGCGCCGAAGAAAATAAGAAGCCGTCATGTTGAAGACATACACTATTGACAGCCCCATCCGCCCTTCCCTTCGCCCTTGTCGGTCTTCACTTCCCCATGGCCTTCAGCTGCAATAGTCCATGGCTCGTTCGCTTCCGAAATGCGTCGACACGTTGATCATTGGTACGCCATGGGAATAACACGCGCTCCGAGGCGACATGCTGATTACAAATTCCAGGCAATGGGCCGTCAGCGCTCATCCTCTCGTACATCCTACACGGCCATATCCCCTACTACATTGGCGGCCATCATGACGCGATTCTCGACGCGAAACTGCAGAAGTCGCCGAACCTGCTTCATCTGACGCCAGACCTCTACGCGCATTTCCTGTCCTCGTTGCGCTACTCGACCCAAGCGCTGCCCGTCAACACGCTGCTCGATACCCTCGTTCGCCCGAATGCCGACACCGAGTTGAATCCTACGTCCTGCATTGAGTGGCGATACGAGCCTGACAAGGCGATACCCCATGTCGCAATTGGAGACACGGCGCATGCAGGCGGACAGTGGGCGGAGAACCCGGTCTCTGCGAGCGCGGACATTGGGACTCTGAGCTATGCGGAACAGCTGAGCCTCCCGGGCTATTCGTACGCGGATCACCTGGCTAAAAGCGGGAGGGAGGATGAAGCCGAATTCGTGCGACCATCGAGGGTGGAGGTTGCTGACTATCTGAGGACATATCCGGAAGCTGTGGGTATCGCCGATAGCATCTACACTGGGTTGAAGGTGGAAAATGTACATCGAACGGTGCGTGGGTTCTCCATTGGCAGTCTTGGAGTACGGTGCAAGCATCTTGTGCTTGCCTCTGGTATCTTCACGGTCAACATCCCGCCGCCTCAGTACCTCGCGCCCGTTGCGCAGATGGAGTCGCCAAAAGCGCCTCTGCTTGTCATTGGATCTGGATTCTCTGCAGCCGATGTCATCATATCAGCGCCTCCGACTCGCAGGATCATACATATCTACCAGTGGGCTCCAGAGAAGAGGCCGTCTCCACTACGAGGCTGCCACCACACCGCATACCCGGAGTATGCGACGGTATATCGCCAAATGAAGCTTGCAGCACTCGCCTCAAAGAAGAAGACGGCAAAGTCCCCTTCTGTACGACGAAAATCAAATCCATTCCAACAGCGCGACTGGTCCCTCTACGAAGGCCTGCCCAACGCCGAAGTCACCAGCGCATCCACCTCTGGAAAAACAGCGACCGTCGCCCTCCGCCTCCCCTCAGGAGAAACCATAACACGCGAAGTAGGCGGCCTAGCCTACGTCGTCGGCCGCCGCGGAACCCTAGATTTCCTCTCCCCCAACCTCATCGCCGAGATCCTCAACACACCCGAGTCCACGAGTCCCGACTCCCCTTCCACCCACCTAATCTCCGGCCGCACCCTCCGCGCAAAAGCCGAAGCCACATCCCTCGAAGTCGCCCGCGACGTCTTCATCATCGGCAGTCTAACCGGTGACTCCCTCATCCGGCACGCAATCGGCGGCTGCGTCTTCGCTGCTGGACGCATTCTAGGCGCTATACCCAGTATCTACTTGCCTGATAGTTCCCCCTCGCCTACGTCGTCAACACCGCGGTCTGTGTCCCCTGTGTCGACGTCTGATACTGAGGTTGCGGCTGAAGATGGACTTGCCGGTGATGGACTTGCTGGACTGAGGAAGGAAAGGAGTGGGAGGCGCACGCCTGGTGAGGCGACGAATGGTCATGCGGATTTGCATGTTGATCGCAGGAAGCTGGTTAGGGCGGTTGAGACGGCGCAGGTGGAGAATAGGTATTGGGTTGATTCGGGGTGGTGGGCTGGGGGTTTGGGGCCGGGGAGGCGGTGATGACGGAGATCGGTGGACAGGTGGATAGGTAGATAGGTGGTTTGCTGGCGTTGGTGTGAGTTTGTACATACCCATTTTCATGCGAATATATATTATCTTGGTATACCGCATTACAAGCGCCACATCATGGAGAGCGCTGTGATATCTCAAAGCAAAGGGGTTTACCGAATAGACAGATAACACCTGTGGCTCCCTAGATCATAACAAAAAAGCTAACTCTTGTCCTAGGCTGCAAAAAACACTGCGTTCCCTGTGCTGGAAGTTTCAAGATACAGCAAAAAAAGAAGTTGTGTTATGCCCACTACCCGAATCTAGAAGAACTGTTAGAAGGGGAATTCGAAGTGTGGAACTCATGAGTTGTGAAGCTTACCGAACGAGTGATCTTCGCATTACAAGTGCGACGCCTTACCGCTTGCTATTGGAAGTTGTTAGGACATGTTTCATGCAGTTGGATGAACAGTCGAACTTACGCCAAGCGGGCCTGTTACAACAGGATTGATGGCAAAAAGTCGAAAAGGTAACGCTATGTTCTTGGGTAAAACCTGAATTTTGATGGATTTGGTGAGCAACGGTGGGCAATGGTGGGCCTAGAGGGGTAGACTGGCCGAGTCCGCAGCTGGTGCGGGGCAGGAATGACACGCGCTTCTTTGCATTGATAGGGATGCTTAGTGGGGCTCTACTTCTTATTGGATTGTGACTGATGGAAAGAGTGTAAACACATCACTGGCGGGAAGGAAGTGAAGCGCTGAGTCCATGATTCGATTTCGCAGATACATCGAAGAGGTTCCGCTCAACGTTGTGTAGCTGTGGCTATCTGGTCGCTACCAACTGGACCAGCGGTGGCTTCATCGGTTACGGACGTGGCTTACCAGGTGTCTTGAACTACAATAATTCGGGAGAGATGCATGGTGCAGCTTGGCCGAGTATTGCTGATGTTGGAATTTGTTGCTTACTGTCATGTGCCTTGACTATTTGCACGTGAGGATGGTATATCTTGCTTCATTTTGGGATTCAATTGGGCTTGGTTATGGAACGAATATTTTTAGAGATATGATGGAAACCTTCAGACATGATTGCCAAAAACCAAGAAGCCTATTCCGAACTCTGAGATCGTTGATCGTGTGCAAACGGTTGTGTCGAATGGATGACACTGCTGCGAATGTGACTCGGCGCGAGTACTTGGCAAGTACCTAGGTAGGTTCAGAGCATCCATGGATGGCCTGGAGATTCGGTATGTAGCATCCACGATATTAGGCGGCAGACTTTATCACCCATCCTATAGTTGTTGGGAGAGCAATCACAACTATGCTGATTCACCAACTACCCCGTGGGTTATTAGTGTTCCGTGGCGAAGGCTGATCATTCAAGGTTAGCCTCACCTTTGTCCCGTAGTTCGAGCGTAAGCTCCGACCACCGCTACATCATCGGCGCTGTAAAGGCAACACGTAGACCAACTTTCACCCTACACCACATTTCCGCACTACAGTCCTTTCCGATATAAAACTCTGTCGCAGAATCTGGCATCTAGTCACACACAACTCAAAACCTCAATCTAGAATCAGACAAGCCGAATACCGAAGATGGCGGACAGCGGCGTGGACATCGCATCCCTCACAGCCGACCAGCAAGCCGCACTCCAGCAATACACCGCCGTAACCGACCAAGCAACATCCGACGCGATATCAATTCTCCAACGCGCGCAATGGAACGTTAATATAGCAGTAACCCGCTTCTTCGACGGCGAGCCTACCGAAGACCCAGTCGCTGCCGCCGCAGCGCAATTACCACCGCCCCAAGATATTCGCCGACAAGAGACACTGTTGAATGGCTTTGCCTCACCGCGGTCATCCACAAGTAGTGGGAGGAGGGTCAGGATAGAGCCTGCGCCGAGGGTGGTGCCGCAGCCAGAGAGCCAAGTTACTACACAAGTTCCGCTGGTGCTTGCGATATTTTTTGCGCCATTTTCGCTCGTGTACTCGTTATTCGCGAAGTCTTTCCGACTATTAGGCTGGCTATTCCCCTTCCTACCCCGCGCATGGGGGAGGGTGACGGCTAGCAACATCAACACACCCGCCTCTCAACGCAGCGCAAGCGGACGCCGACCTTTGAACCCACGGGACACTGCGGCGCGATTCATCCGCGAGTTTGAGGAGGAATATGGCAGCCACAACCTCCCGTTCTTTGAGAGCGGTTACGCACAAGCCTTCGATTTGGCTAAGAAGAACCTCCAGTTCCTGATGGTCGTGCTGGTCAGTCCTGAGCACGATGAGACGTCGTCGTTTATAAAAGATACACTCCTCGCACCAGAGGTTGTGGAATTTGTGCGGAACCCCGAGAACAACATCATACTTTGGGCAGGCAATGTGCAAGATTCGGAGGCATACCAGGTTTCTGCCGCGCTATCGTGCACGAAGTTCCCCTTTACTGGCCTTATCGTACACACACCGCAAGTTTCGTCGACAGCTATGGGCATCGCGGCGCGCGTAGCCGGTCCTACAACCCCACAGCAGTACATCGCAAAGCTAAGGCAGGCGATGCAGCAACACACGGAGCCGCTTAATCGCGTACGCAGTCAGCGCGCAGAACAGCAAGCGACAAGGAACATCCGAGAACAACAGAACAGCGCATATGAGCGCTCACTTGCAGCGGATCGAGAGAAGGCGCGCAAGAAGAAGGAGGAAGCGGAGCGGAAAGCCCGCGAAGAAAAGGAAGCCCTTGAACGCGAACAAGCCATTGAACGATACGCACAGAACCTCGCCCAATGGCGCAAATGGCGCGCCGCATCAATCCGCTCTGAGCCCAGTCCCGATGAAAAGGACATCGTACGCATCAGTCTTCGCATGCCTAATGCCGAGCGTATTGTGCGCAAATTCGCCGCGGATGCTCATATCGAGGAACTCTACGCGTTCGTTGAATGCTACGATATCCTGCAGTCTGAAGAAGGCGTACAGAAGAAGGTCGAAGAGCCAAAGGACTTTGAGCATGAGTACAAGTTCCAGCTGGTCAGTCCTATGCCGCGCGAAGTGTACGAGCTCAAGACTGGCGGTACGATTAAGGAGCGCATTGGCCGAAGTGGTAATTTGATCGTTGAGCGAACTGATCTTGAGGATGAAGAAGACGAGGATGAGGAGTAATCGCATGAATATAGTCATTGCGCTGGCGTTACGCATTTCTGCTCGACTTAGCGTGGGACGTGGACATCCACTGAGGTTTTTGATATGATAGATACTTTGGTTACGAATGTGAAAATGTATGTACGACCAAACATGTACATGTCTACCATATGCAGTGCTATTTTTATCCTTTTGAGCCAAATTGCCTGACAAGTATTTGCAAGACGATGAACACAGCCACAACTATGCTTCGAGTGCTTGTATCGGGTAGGCTACGGCTGTCTCGGGTGCACGGGCCACATCTTAGTGCCGCTCCCGGTTTCGTCGACGGGTGACGCATCACAAGCGTAGATCGTCCAATCTGCCTCGCGTTCCTCCAGACAAGCCTCCGATATGATCGCATCAACAACATAACATGGACAGAGCGAAGACTCGCAAGCCTCATAAGAAGTCGCGAAACGGCTGCTTACCGTGCAAAGGCCGACATGTCAAAGTGGGCTTTCCCATTCGAGTTACGAATTCTACTTGCGACTAACAAACTTCAAAGTGCGATGAACAGAGGCCTAACTGCGCAAACTGCGTGAAGCAAGGCACGGCGTGCGAATACCGACCTTCCACCAACCGCGAGAGTCGTGAGGCGTCCCACGTATCGCCTTTGCCGGCTGGAACACCAGCTTTTACGCCGTCATCTACGGATGGTAATGCCAACACTGTTGATCAGCAACCATTACCGGAGTTTGGAACTATCGACCTTAATGGCGCATCCAGCCGGCCTGATCTGACACTGAATATACCCCAACTACGGTTGCTCCAGTACGTCCTTTCAATTCGATCTTGACGCTTTGAGAGTGTCTCACTCTGCGTCCAAGACCGCTCATAACTTTCGGTCACCAGAACCTATCCACTGCTTACGGAGAGGCTCAAGAAGTTTGGACTAATTCTGTGCGCAGCCACTATACTACTGTCACCGCCAAAACCCTCGCAGCGCATACTGATGCTGAGGATGTTTGCTCGAACTTTCTGATACAGACATCTTTCGATCATCCTTATCTCCTTCAGGCAGCTCTTGCTCTCAGCGCGCTACATCTAAGCCGAATTTCAGCTCCAGAAGAGGCTCCGCAATACTCGTACCAGGCCGAGAAGTACCATGAAGCAGCTCTACTTAGTTTCCAAACATCGGTTCGCGACATCGACCATTCGAACTTCAAAGCGGTCCTTCTATTTGCCGGAGTCCTGTTCCCACACGCATGTGTGGCTTCAGTTGCAGCTCACACAGATATGGAGCATGCGTTCGATAGTATGCTTTCCAACCTGATTCTGACCCGGAGGATAAGGCCCATGGTGTCTGGTTTTTACATGGAAATGAAGGCGAGTGAATTGGGCCGCATGATTCCGGACGACGTAAAAGACATTGATTGGATGACGGAAGAACAACCACCCAATACTGAACTTGTCCAGCTGCGCAAGTTCTCGGAGGTCGTCCATCATGTCTATCCCCCCGATATCGTCGACGCATATGGCTTTGCCTGCCATATCCTCGAGCTGGTATTCCAGGTCGCGGAGAAATCTGACAAGCCGCCTTCCGACGCGTTGCTGAAGATTTGGATTCATCTCATCTCCAACCGCTATATCGAGCTTCTATCGGAGAAGCAGCCGGGATCTCTGATCATCTTTGCACATTATGCTGTCATGATGCACAGAGCGGCAGCGAGCTACTGGTATCTGGAAGGACTCGCAGAGCAGATCCTCATGATTGCGGATCACATGGTTCCCAGCGAGTGGAAGCAGTGGCTCCAGTGGCCTAAGGAGCAGATACGCGGTGCCTCTGTTCCACCGACACCATATTCTGGACATACGACATGAAGCCTTGGAAGTGTTCTTGGCATTCGCCAGTTTCATCAATGGGCGCCGAGCTGTGTACGCTCCCAACCTGCTGCAAAAGGCGAGCGGTTGCTCCATGGAACAAATCGTCCAGTGCAGGCTATGATGCCTGATTACCGCCAGCTTGCGTACAACTATTGCATCGAAACAATATCCCTACGCCAAATCAGTATTGATTATACCTTGTACCAGACTGCTTTGGGATATGCTTGCGAAGAATGTGTGGCTGGCTTGACGAAGTATCATGTCGTAAGTAGAATCAGGCTAGGCTCGAGTATCCGCATGTTGACTGATCAGGCAGACTACCTTTACAGGACTTGGCTGGCCAGCGTAGAACACGACCGCTCGAAATGATAATAGTTATTAGGGGGAGGATGTGCGAAACGTGCGAAGTAGCCGGCTTATCTACTTGCACGCACTACGACACAATTTACGACGTATTCTGGAAGCGACACTGAAGATTTCCTCCTGCTACCCCCGTGTTTGACACCACCATACGCGAAGAACTAGTGTAGGATGCTAGAGGAAAGAACAAGAAGAGTGGAGCTCAGTATCCTGGCAGCAATGCGATTGGCGCATCGTATCTGAATACGCTAGTCGTATGCACAGACCCTTCTCCCTCTCTATCCGGGATATCTACGCATCCCAACAGGCGGCGGGAACGTTGCTCGGGCAATCTACGTACGGGTCCAGGGAGTCTAGATACGGGATACGCTAGGTGGGCTGTGCCCCGCGGTAATTCATCGCGAGTTCTATACATAAATACTTTGCTATACTCTTCTCCACCAGCCAGCCTCAGTCCACATACCACCAGTTCAACAGTGTACTACCACAAACACTTCTCACTACCTCAAGCACATTACCATAGCTGTTTTATCTGGGTTTCCGGTACCTCACAGGCTCCTGCCTCATACCTCCAACCTCCCACTCAAGATGTCGACACCGGGGCCCGTAGACGACTCAAACGCGATACCAGAGTATGTGCTCTGGCCGTACACCCCTACCATCGCGGCCGGTGCCATTACCGCCGTGATCATGTTCATACTGTTCTTCATCCACACATACCGCCTTGTCAAGAACAGGACATGGTTCTGCCTACCCTTCGTCATCGGAGCTCTAGTATGTGTCCACCTGTCTCCCAGTCCTCCAGCTTCTACATGCGAAGCTACTTCCCTACTGAAATACATACTAACACCCACTCCAGTGCGAAGCCATAGGCTACTCCGCCCGAGCCGCAGCCCACAACGACACCGAGAACAAAACCCCCTACATCATCCAATCCACGCTCATCCTCCTCGCACCCATCCTCTTCGCAGCGTCCATCTACATGATCCTCGGCCGCCTCATCCGCCGCACAGACTCTGCTGAGTACTCGTTGATCCGCGTAAACTGGTTGACCAAGCTCTTCGTTGGCGGCGACATTCTCTGCTTGTACGTCTCCCCAGAAAACAACACAACACAACACAGCTCCCAAGAAACCATCACGCTGACATGTGTATTCCAGTATGATCCAAGGCGGCGGCGCCGGCATGCTCGTATCCGCCTCCGACGCCTCGGGCTTCAAACGCGGCGAAAACATTATCCTCGGCGGCCTCATACTCCAAATCCTCATCTTCGGCTTCTTCGTCGTCGTAGCGGGTATCTGGCACGTGAGACTCCAAAAGGGACCTACAGCTGCGTCGGCAGATATTCCGTGGACGAAGCTGATCTGGTTCTTGTATGCGGCTAGTGTGTGCATTACTATTCGTAACCTTTGTAGGGTTATTGAGTATGCGATGGGCAAGGTATGTTTTGTTCTGTCCTTTCGATTGGTGGTTGGAGTGAATGCTAATGGATGGATACAGGATGGTTACCTGCTGTCTCACGAGTGGCCGATTTATGTTTACGACTTTTTGCCTATGATGATTACGCTTATCGTGTGTGTTTGGTGGTATGACCCCAATATCAAGCCGGCTCGCAAGGGAGATATTGAGTTTGCTCGTCGATAGATAGGGGTGGAATGTGTTCTTGTCAACGGCAGCATATTACAGCGTGAGGCTGGGAGGGCATGGTTCTACCGGGTCTGTCAACTTGACGACCAGAGCGGGAGCTTTATTATTGGCAAGCCGCGTGTTATTTTCTTTGTGTAGCGTTTATGTTGGTTCTTCGGATTCTGTAGGAAAGCGCGCTCAGCGACATGGGTTTATGGAATTCCCATTTGGATAGAAGTGTAGATATCTAGCATAGCACATACAGGCCTTGTTTATCTGACTCTGCAGCGAGTACATCGCTCCTTTTATTAGCTTTGTACTAAGTACGTATTCCTTTAAGGTCGTTATCCCACCTTATGCACGGGGAAAACTGAACAGGTCTTCGGTCTACACGAAGACGGCAACTTGCACATTCGGTGACGCAACGTCAATGTGTATTCTTGGGTGTTCACTCATCTCCTCGGGCGAGATTATTCACTTTCACTTTTATTATTGACACGGATCTACACATGTTCCACGTCTACCTCTGAATCTCCTTCTCTTCGTATTTCCTCTCTAGGCCAACCCTTCCAAAGCAGACTACTCCTGTCTCTCCCTCGCATCATCAATGGCCTTATCCCAATTATAAAACTTCATATAAATACCCTCCGATATCGTAATGCAGCTCGAACCCACCGCACACCCAGTCCAAAGCCCCACCAACTTCATATCCTGCTTGAAACAAAGGAAAAGCGCCAACGGCACCGCAATAACATAGTACACGAAGAGATTGCACCAGCCGCCGATGTTCTGTTTACCCAGACCACGAAGCAAGGCATTCACGAGTGCGGTTGTGGAATCCGCGAATTGGAACGCAGCGAGTAGGGGCAGTACGGTGGCGACTATGCTGACGACTTCCGGATCGCTGGTGAAGGCTTTGGGGAGGACATTTCGACAGGCGGTTAGGAAGGCGAAGTCGATTAGGCCGATGGCGAGGAAGGTTAGGATGTACGTTTTTGTGGCGGTGCGGGCGGCGGAGAGGGAGCCGGCGCCGATTAAGTTGCCCAGGCGGGTTGAGACGGCTACGCCGACGGAGAAGGGGACGTGGTAGATGGCTACTGCGAGAGTCATGACGATTGACTGCGCTGCTAAGTGAGCTGTGGAAAGATAACTTGTCGAAAAGGTAAGAATGTCCTACAAGAGGATTAGCGTGTGCTCCATGTCCGAGCATGCAGTGCGTGAAACTTACGAAAGCCAGCCACTCGGTCTCAACCATGACGATACCTGGAATTGCTAATCTTGCCATCGGCCCCCAATGGGTGAATGCATCCTTCGTGAAGCCGCCCCAGCATTCCAGCGAAGACGGGTTAACGAAGTATACGTAAATCCAAAGCAGCAATGGTAGGAGGTTGTTGGAGATGACAGTCGCGAGGGCAGCACCCGTGAGATCCCAATCCAGAACGAAGACGAAAATATAGTTCAGAGCTATGTTGATCGGCGTTGCGATAAGCAAGACAAAGAGCGAAGCGTTGAACAGGCCCTGTGCTTGCGTGAACCGCTTGCCAGCTTCGAAGATGGCGTATCCTGGTGCTCCTGCGAGGAGTAACGAGAGGTAGTATCCAGCGAGATGAGCAATCGCCTTCTCGGGAACCAGGGCGGCCAGAATCCAACCTGAACATAGCCAGATTGCTCCGATGGGGATAGTCACAGCTAACATGAAGAGGATCATGCGCTGGAGGTGGAGTCCTACCATGGTCTTCTTCCCGGAACCATAAGCTTGCGCGCAGAGAGTGTCTAGTGATGTGGCCAGTCCTTCGTAGATTGCTAGTCCGGTGATGTTGGCTGTCATTGTGGCTAGAGAGACCGCACCAAGCTCATCTGTTCCGACTATGCAGAATAATAGTCAGCTTACATCTAATGGGACCTGTGTTTCGAAGACCTACTATGCCCAACGACGAATATCGTCACCAAGCTGAATGAGTACTGCAGCAGGTACGTCCCCATCAGCGGAACGCTGTACTTCAGCAGCAACTTGGCTTCCTGCCCCGCCGTGGTCCCCAGCTCTTCTGTCGTCCCATCTCCGCCCAGCAGACTCTCAATCTCAGAGGGATCCGGAATCGCGCCATACTGATTCTGCTTCGCCGCGTTTTCGTGCGCCCTAAGTAAGCCGACGCGCTCAGCCGTGCTCGTCGAGAACCTGCGCGCCTCGGGAGCGTCCATTGTGTTATAGGTAACACCGCCACCGGATGTAAAAGGGAACGGAACAAAACCCAGCGCTAAAGACGAGATGTCATAGTCGTATTCCAAGTGGGTGACCTCGATGTGCTGGACTTTGTCCTGGTGTTTCGCTCTCACAGTCGTCGGCTCGGGCAGCCAAAGTGGGGCTAGGAGCTGGGCCTCTGCCGTCAATGGCGCATCTCGGCGCATGGCGATATCGGGCAGCTTGCAGCGAAGCAGTAAAGCGTCGGACGACTAACGAGGGGCGGGCATAGTCTTGCCTGTGCCGTGTGGAGTTTGTGTGCGACAGGTGCCCGGATGCGGGAATGTTTGTCCAGAGTCTGCAGCTTTTCACGAGGTTTTTGTGGTGCGAGATGGGCACTGTCGTGGGCTCATTTCCCGCGCTGGGCTGGCACCAGGGTCTCCGCTGCTCTCGTTGCCATGTTTACTGCGCGCTGTGCCTGCACCGACCATTCGCAACGGCGGGCCGCGAGACATAGTCTGGTAAGAGCGAGGCGTTGGGGTGCGTGGCGATGATCGTACCATCGTAACGCGAGTCGGAAGGAAGCCCATTGGTGCGCACTGGTTCGTGATTCAATCATCTCCGAACCTCCCGGTTCGCGCTACTGTCGAGCACGTATGCTGGATTACCTCACCGAGCATCTCCAGAGATGCGCGAACTGTTGGCTGAAGATGAGGAGCACGACTCGTCTGCGTGTTGTCGTTCGAACGGTCGCATGCGCGCGACATTGTTTCTGACCTTTGGCTGACATGTATGTAGCACTCCATTATCTAGTGAGAGAACTAGTCTCGGTC